TAGCACGAAGTCTGGAAATGTGCCCGGTATATGGCAATAGGCTGACCCCCTATTACATGGGACTCATAACATAAATAGTGAAAAATGGGTTTTACTTCTGAGTGCACCTCTGCCTACCCCTTCGGGGATAAAAGGCGTGATATTATGTTATGTTATCTTATATAAGTAAAACAGTAGCTTCCGTGACATCTCTGTCTTGCTTTGAACACGCTTTCTTTAACAAGAAATAGTAACCAAGTGTCTTTCTGTACTTCATTCATACTAAATAGCCAACATTAAGAAAAGGACTTTCTCAGTATTATCTGTATGTATGTATGTACGGTATTATCTCGCGATTGACTGACCCGATTTTGATGTGGTTTTCAGAAAAGTGTTATGTTACCTATCCACAGGAGACGGTTTTAGTATATTCATTACCCGAGCGTACAGCGCATCGCGTTCCGCGCGCGCCTCAAAGAGCCATCAGACCACCACGGATGGGGCCCAATAGGGCTGATGCCGATACGGAGCCGCGGAGAACCTAACGGGTTACCGGGGCTCCAGCTCGAAGTGCAGGAGTAGAAACGGGGTGGTTTTTAGTCAGGAAGTGTCTGACACTCCCACCTACCTCACCCAGGCGGGAGAAGTCATTGGATGATTTCCACCATTAATAAAAAGTATATTAATTAAACGACTTCAAAAAAGAGGGAGTCGAAGTTGATTTGTTTAAACGCAGTTTGTAGAAGAATTATTTTTGTCTTTTCATCACTTAACTGACTTGATACTGACAGTCTTCGCTCAATTTACAGTATTTTATTCGAACAGTCCGCCATCAAATATAGTCTCGGCTTGTCTCACATCGTAAAACATTAATACATCGCAATTACCTAATGCAATTACTTCTCCCTTCGGCATTAACGACTCACTAAGCAAAATATAATGCAGCTGTTTCTAAAGTTAATTACATTTTTAGATTTTAGGACTTCGTAAATTACTTTAATTGTTACTTTTATATCTCTGTCGGTAAAGTAATATTAGGATATTTCGGTTTTACGGAACTCTGCCGTCATTGGTCAAGAGTCTGGGATTGTGTAATTTTTTTTAAACCAATTTATTTAGTGAAATTTTGCATAGGTGTGACCTTAAATCTAAACTCGCCAAACTTTAACGTTTGATGGCGAGAAACGCTCATTAGACAAACAAATCAATTGTAATTCAATTCTATCAATCAAACGTATTGTGTTAAGCTCATCCCTTATTACACGTTTATTTATGGGATTTTTTGAAGGAAGTCATCGAATGACTTCACCCGCCCGTGAGAAGCTGTGAGTGTCAGACTCCTACTGACTAAAAACCACCCCGTTCCTACTCCTGCACTTCGAGCCGGAAGCCAGGTAACCCGTTACGTTCTCCGCGGCTCCGTATCGGCATCACCCATATTGGGCCCCATCCGTAGTGATCTTAAAGCTCTTTGAGGCAAGCGATGCGCTGTACTCTAGGGTCTGGTTCTGGTCGGGCGGTGAGCTACCCATCATGGGACCCTTATTTGAAGTATGACCTGATGTTAAGCTATCGGCGTTGACAATGGACACTAGGGCACCAAAGGAATTACAAGTGCATTGCCATTGATTTGTGATTTGGTGATGGGGTATAGGATTGTACCTCCGGGACCTGGTTATACTAGACGTACTAGTTACTGTAGTAACCACACGGTGTCAGTGATCACACGGAGTCAGTAATGTAAAACACTAACCAAACGTTGTTTTTGTTAGCCGTTTTTCAGAGCACTTATCATAAATGGTATTAAATAGGTGTTACAATTAAAGTGCTCTGCGTACTCTTTCAAGGATCATAACGAGTGATTTTATGTAATATAAAACAAATATCGACGTATATTTTACACACAAATCTTGCATCGGAAACGTTGCAACACTAGTTGCAAACAAAATATACATATAACCGTCCGGTGCATTCGTAAATAAATCAAATGCATGTACGTACGTGTGTGTACTATTACCTAATAAATTATAATGCATTTGCAATAAATCATAAATGATTTTATGCCAATGTAAACTCTGTTACATAAATCGTGTTTTGTTTTGTTTTTCAACCATATGTCAAACAATGTTTGTTTTCTTCAGTTCAATGTGAAATGTAAACAATTGTTTAAGTTGGGGATGAGACTATTTATGGAATGTTTTGTATATATTTTTGGAATATTAAACAATACTGTTTTAGTGCTACCATATTTTGCTGTTTACGTACGCAATAATATCTGGTCTGTCGTTGACCGAAGGGTCTGGCAGAGGTGTGCAAATACATATTATGTTTTTACGTGTTTTGCGTTTGAATTGAAGCTCTGCCTTGTCTCGTTGTCAATCCAGACACATCTACACATCTTTTACAATTTGTTTTGAAAGTACTCAGAAGTACTCTGTAACATTTTGCCCAATCCGAGTAATAAATGTTTATGCTAAACAATCGTGATTAGAGTTGTGACAGACAATACAGACAGTGTCTGGCGTTACGTTTCTTGATTATCTTCTCGAAATTATAATTATTTTTACGGAAAACTAGCAGACGGATCACGTAATAGTAAGCGATCATAGCTATGAACACAACATAACATAACATCACGCCTTTTATTCCCGAAGGGGTAGAAGTACACATTACGGCACTTACTGTTACTGTACTATGTAAGTAACACCCATTTTTCACTATTTATGTTATGAGTCCCATGTAATAGGGGGTGAGCCTTTTGCCATACACTGGGCACATTACCAGACTCGGTGCTAATGGGATTTCTTTAAAAAACCCCAGTAATACAATGGTTACACACATACCTATGAACAATGACTAGTTTAGAAAATCGAAACTTTAAGATAATCTTCAACTAGGACGATAGACGACATAAATTCTCGAAACTTAAACGAAGTTGCTACCACAAGAATTCATAGAACATGATATTATAACATCATTCGTATCTACAACAATGCTTCTAACATGAACCAATAGCTATAGAGGTAACGTTAACACTGGTCACCCGTGAAGGATTCCCACGGATTCTTTGTGATCATTATTTTGAAAATCTGTCTCCCATCATTAGAGGAAGATGGCCGGAAATGAATTAAGGGTGGCAATAGACCGCCACATTAATCTAATAGTTCGTAATGACTGTAAAGTAGTAGACCTTAGGATTGGTTCAGGTAGGATTTTAATTGGTTTTTTAGTTTGAAACCTCGATAGAAGTTTAGGAAGAAATTAGAAGGAAAGATTGTAGGTCCTACAATCTTAACAAATCGTACTTTTTACTAATATTATAAACTAGCTACTTCCGCGAGGTTTCGCAAGCTCTGCTTAGCTCCTATTGGTCGTAGCGTGATGTTTTAGCCTTAGCCTATAGCCATCCTCGATAAATGCGCTATCCGACACAAAAAGAATTATTCAAATCAAACTTGTAGTTACGGAGATTAGCGCGTTCAAACAAAAAAACCAACTCTTCCGCTTTAAATAATAGTATAAGATATAAGTAATATAAACTGTTTTAAAAGTATATTTATTATATTAAGGATTCATTTAAACAAATGCTTTGACTTTGACTTTGAAAAAATGCGAATGTTTGTGTGTATGTTTGTTTGTCACGTCAATCACGTCAAAACGGCTAAAGGGATCGGGATGAAATTTGGAACAGGGATAGATTATAGTCTGGAGTAACATATAGGCTACTTTTTATTCTACGGGAACGCGGACGAAACCGCGGGCAGAAGCTAGTATTATACTAAATGCGAAAATATCTACGTTTGTTTCTGTGGATAGGAACTTAGAGAGTGATCTAGACTACTTTCTATACCTTAAACCATGTGGATGGAAGTACCTATGTATCTACATGATTATTGGAAGACCAATCCTAAAATTCCTGTTTGTTATAGATCCCGTAGGTACTATCTACTTAATTCACAAACGCACAATTTCTTTTGCAAATCAATTATTATGTTTTTCGGATTACTCACGTAGGTAACTGTTTGAGAAGAAGCTCGACTAGTTTCAATTCAAACCTTCTAGTATAGAAACCCGAAAATCATAACAATTATTTCGTTAAATTCTAACACGCATCCAATAGTCTTGTGGGCTAATTTAAAAGTAATGATTTCTGAAAGATTTCTTTTAACAAATCTCATTTGGTGTTCTTTGTTTATTTTAAAGTTATTTCAATTGTAAATTTAAATCATCGCTATAGGTAATTCTAAATGCCGTGTGCGGCAATGTAGTGTGCTTTAAAAGTACAAAGAAGTATAGTTTTCTTAAGTTTATCATACTATCTATATATCTATACAGATAAATAAAATTAAAGTGTCTGTTTCTGATATTAAAATAACTAATAATTGAATAATATTTTTTTTAACATATTTTGCCTGTTTGTTTGTATTACCTAATCTCTGGAATAGCTGCACCGATTTTGCAACTTTTATTGGCTGGTAGCTGATGTACTGAGGAGTAACATAGTCTACTTTTATTTTGGAAAATTGAAACGAAAAAAGAGTTAATTATAAAATTCATATTCTATGCATATAAAGTCATTAACTAATAATTTACATATTAATACTAATAAACATTAATGTAGTCGATATTTAACTGAAATCTAATACAAATGCTAAAATAAATACTGTTAGAAGTAAAATAGTATTAAATATACAGATCGGTGTCTGTCTAAATCCGTTTACACATTTTAAACTTTTTTATAATACCAATATATCGGAACTATGCTAACTTCTAGAAATAAAAGTATAAAAACCTCATTTATTATGCGAACGGAAGCATTTACTTTTTTAGTTTCCTAATTTTAAAACCGTTTTTAGTCTCACTTTTAATGGATTTTTTGCTTTAAAACGCTGATAAGATACCACTAATATAATCCACTTAATAAAGGGGCGTGAAAAGTCGACTTATAGTTTGAATTTAAAACAATTAACAATGAACTTATTGCTGTTGAAAATATAGTTTTTATTGAAAGGTGCACTTACCACCAGTTGCCCGTTACAGCCTGTGCAAGAAGTAGCAAACAGCACAAAACTTTCCAAATAAGCTTCATAATGCCAAATAACTTTACAAAGTCACTTTACAAACATCCTAGTTAGTGAACACTAACAAAAGTTTAACTTTAAACACTTCACATCAACACCGCTGGATTTCAAACAAAAACAAAACTTCAATTCTTAACCGCAAATCTCAAAAACCAAAACCACTATACAAAACAAACCACAAAACTTAAATAACAATGTAATCACTGTAATGCGAACAAAAAAAAAATAAAACGAAAAAGAAATAAAAACTTTTTAAAACAAAACTTTTGCGAAAGTTTACTTTTGCCGGCGCACTCTTATTTTTTAAAAACGAAGCTGTCAACCAAGGATTCCATAGAGCGTTTATTAAAATACGAACAGTTTGAAAAAATCGAAAAAAGATTTTGTGTGCAGTCGTTTACGTTTAGACGCGACGCGCTTGCGATCCGCGCGCAATGAAACACAAAACCAGACTGGCTTGCTTTAAGCCGTTTGTAAGTATTCCATAGGATTCTCAGCAAGGGGAAGGGTCGAATCGGAGGGCGTGTAGATGCAGTATAGTGCTGCACGAATTCATCCTTCCGAGCCCTTACTACGAGCAGCGTAAACTTTAAAGACCAGAATGTCGGTTGTCCCGCGAAATGTCAACGTTCGTTTACGCAAAATCATCGTCGAGTTTTGTTGCGACAACAAGTAGTAAGATTGTGGTCGGTTGCAGAAAAATGTCCACGACCATCAATTGTGAGCTTATCTTCAACTCATGAGCTTAATACCCTGAGTTATTATCATTTTTCAAATTGATTTGCTGATCGAAAGATAGGATTTAAGTGCATAAATGCCAAACAAATTGTATTTATGGCTAAAATTATGTGAACTTTTTATAGATTTAAGTCACATATATTTTGGTTAAGCCGTTTATAGTGTTGTGTTTAATAGCTGATTGTCCTAGATAAGGGCATGCTAGTAAATTAGAACTATAACACGAATGAATTATGGTTAAATGTAGTCTAGTATGGAATAAATACAATCTCTTTACCTTTTATTGATTGCATCCTTGAATAACTTTGTAAGAAGCATCTTCATAGTGCGTTAAGTGAGTGGTGTTTCGCAAGGCGCCATTCCAGGTCCACTCTCACTTAGAAAAACATTCACGTTCTCATCGATATAAATTGTTATCATCTATCCAGTAACGAGTATAATAAATATAGATTAACATTTCACGCAATGCTAATTAAACATTGTAACCTAATTCGGATATCTTGGTATTTGTATGCAGCAGCATCGGAGCTAAGTAATTATTTTATCCTTATATGAAGTGTTATTTTACTCAATAAAATGTGAAAGGGTTTCTCTTTCTTATTGAACTATGCAGAAGCGCCTATTTATTTTGTTGTTAAATGTTTTGTTAACTGAAGAAATTATAATTAATGTTTACAGCTACTTTATCTTTAAGATAAGTAACTGATAATTCATACAATGCAGTAAGCATATTTATTAGTTTGTTTTGCAAACAGCGAGTCTATTGTAATCTCATAACTAAATGGCATAAACAGATCCATCTTGCAACCGCCATATACCTACTTAAACTACCTGGTTGAATACTGAATTACTGAACCGAGGACTCTTGTACAAAAGAAACCCCAACGGGACCTACAATGACGTATTATTTGCCACTTTCACTAACTGTTTCTTCCGTCACAATATTTAAAAAGATAAAAATATTTATATTTATTTTTTTATCGTCAATGTAGCTTCCAGAAACTTTAACTGCGTCCAGTACCACATGGTAGGTCAGTAAATAATGGTTCTAGTTTTGAGCCCACGTTTACACATTATAATAGGTATTACTATTGATGAATCAAAAATCTGATAACCTTTTGCTAACGATAAAACTATAAGGCACATTGATAGAGGTTTTAAACACGGTACAAGTTAAATGATCGATGTGGCGATAATTAAATCTCCTCCAATAATACGTATCACACAAGACATATCACGTCTCAAAAACTTCACACATCACTTTATCAGCGAAAGCTTTTAGCAGATAAAAACTGTTAGCAGATGTCTTGAGTAATACCTTCACAAGTTGAACCCATAACTAATTTTAGAGAACCAATCTAAAAAAACTATGGAGGGTAAAAAACAACAACAATGGGGTTTACCTGCAACCATTTTGTAGCCCGTGTTTACGATCGCAGTAAAACTGTAATTGCAGCAGATCAAACGGACCGACTGGCTGACTTAACTGTGTAGAATACTGTAACAGCCCATATGCGGTCAAATTTCAATAAATAACACGATTATCAACTCAAACACAAAGACAATAAGGAAAATAAAAATTTTATTGATGCGAAAAATTACGATGGTTATATAGATGCAACTGGTATACTGTTAGACGATTTGAAACTTTAAACTGATAGGAATAAAGATAATTATACACTTGAAACAATTTGATGATTTTTGCAACATGATCACAAAGATGTCAATTCAGATTTAGATTTACGTTTGTCACTGTAAAATGCAATTGTAACTCGAGGGTGTTAAAGTTGATAATTGAGTGATGGATATGGATGAAGCTGAAAGGAATGTAACTCGATTTTCTTAACAATTTTAAGTATTTGAAGACAATCATTTAAGTTGGAAGTACGACGTGAGATAGGAAATAAATAAACTGATTCCAACTAAATGTAGGGTGTCGACACACTGCACGATGCTTTTTGCATTCATCCTTTTTGTACTAAACGATGTTGACAAGTGGAGATTAACAATGGCATTTATAAAAACGGTATTGTTGTAGTTTGGTGGGGAAGAACCAGTCTGTTTGGTCCCTTTGTTGTTTTTCTTTTAATCAAATTTGTGTTGCTAAAATATTATAAATTTTGATTATTATAGGAGGTATAATTAGTTTAAAGATCTGTAACATGCATTGGATGGTGATCTTACATTAGAAGTAACTTAGACATCAGTTTTCATTTTGGGCCCCAGATTGCACCCAAAGAATGCTAAATAAAATTTCTTTAACCGACACCAATTAATAACATGATTTGTAGTTCCTCAAGCTCCAAAAAAATGGTTTCAACCATTCAAAACAAAACCCTTTTAAAAATAAACCTGATACAAGGTTTATCTCAGCCACAATCGAGTAATATGGAGTCCAATTGTTTCCAATCTACGTTAAAAGTTACAAGAATTGTTTAGCGCCATTATTTCATTAGTGTGTTCTAGAAATATTTCCAAGTCTATGTCACTAACTGTTGATTGTCTTTGTTTTGTTATTTTGTAATTGAATGCTTTTGTACTTTTGTATTATGGAGAGAATTCATTGCAATGCAATTTGGTGTCAAATAAAATAATATTCCCAAAGGAAGACAAGTATTTATCATAGCTCAAATTTCATCAATAGTAAGTGTGGGAGAGCCATGCATCGGCACGAATAGGCCGGCTTGACCGGAGTACGGCCTCACAGAAAACCGACGTAAAGCAACGCTTGCGTTGTGTTTCGTAGCGTGAGTGAGGTTACCGGAGGCCCAATTACCCTCCCCTTCCCCAATCTCCCAAATCCCTGAATCCCCAACGATCCTCAAACTCCTAATCCCCAAAAGGCTAGTAATGCACTTGTGACGCCTCTTGTGTTCCAGATGTCCATGGGCGACGCCGATTGCTTACCATCAGGTGATCCGTCTGCTCGTTTACCGGCTAATGCCATAAAAAAAATTGTCCTTTCAGCACTGGTCATAATTTCACTATTCATGTTCTTACCAAGAACTCTTCACTATTAAAATGGACATGTTGAATTACTGTTTTAATAAAGGATCGGTCGGCTCAATCATTATTAGAAATGAACTTATGAGACAAGTCTTGTGACTAAATCGCTAAGACTTATTTAATGACTTTTAGAATATAAGAAAAAATTTTTAAGTCATGTTCGAGCCAAGAGACTAAGACAGTTAAAGTGATAACAATACCAACACTGACAATGACAATGGGTCGTTACTATCAGTTTATGAGCAAATGTCTTATAGATTGACGTATATCGCCATGTAGGACCACGCAAACAAAGTCTTAGTTACATACATACATAACTTCAGTGTCTCCCATTGGGGTAGGCAGAGACTATAGAACGTCAAATTCTTATATACCACTTTCGCTTCATCAACAGTCATCAGTCTTTTAATTTGGCCCTTCTATAATATATCGCCAATCTGGCCAGTATACGTCCGTCTAAGGCGCCCTCTACCGACGGCACCATTCATATCAACTCTGTATACTTTCGTTACTCTTAGTCTTAGTTCAGAAACCAAATGAACAAGAACAAAATAAAGAGACAGAACACATCAACTTAGAGAAAAACTAACAAAATCTAATAGCTCGAAACTGACATAAGTCAATACATTAAACTTGTTAGAAGAAAAGTCGCAGTTACAACTACAAAGTTATTTTGCAGCTCATAAAACAAGAATAGTTACGAAAGTATTCTAAACGAGGGTGGATATGGGAGCAAATATAAGTTTGTCATACGATAACTGGCAATTACGCCTGATATCTGTGTAGTCGACGGAACGACGGCAAAACAATAACATAAAAGAATCGATATTGCTAGATACAAATGAATAATCTATAAATGCCTTTAAGACATTGATGGGTAGAGCTAGGAATTGTGTAGAGGTGGACGGAGTCGAAGGATCTGATTTTAGTGCAATATAAATACATGTAACTAGATAAATAGATACAGGCAACACTAATATTAAAGATAACTTAATGCGGCTAGTACGTAAAGGTAAATATAAAAAGTCTATTAAAAATTATTAGGTAAGGATTTAGTATGCGATAATTTTAATGAAATATAAATACATAATCATATTTATTGCAAAACAGCCACTGTATTACAACCACTTAAAAACATAAAAAATCTGTACAATAAAACTCTTACTATACCCAACTTCTTCTTATTCGCAATTAAACTAAAAGTTAAAACGATTCTACAAAAAGTAACCAAACTCATTTCGATATTTTGACATTTTTTTTTGTTTTGTAGACAGTTAACTTCTTATTTTTATCCTCAGTTCCTAGTCATACTTCATATTTTCTTCAAAAACCACGTGGTCCTTATAGTCACGAAAAGTTGGTCCTTCCATCTTTGTCGCTTGTAAGCAACCCTAGCTCTGCGTACAAAGTTAATACGATCCAGTTATTAGTCGAATAATAACTGAACATATTCCATACTCAGCCAGTTCCATCGATATCATCTCGTAGTATTTT